AAATCATGACGATTTGGACCAAATTCCTGCAAAACCACCAACCGTCTAGTGTAAGCTTCTTGACTTATGGGCGGGGATGGAGGACGCTTCCCTTTGCCCTCGCCCTGGCTACGTCCCTAAACATTTGCATTTTGCAGATGTCTGGATTTTATGTGCGGTTGGGGGTACGTAACTAAAGCAGTGGCTGAGCGTGCAAAATTAAAGTTAGTCTCCCTCCCAGATTTCACGCATCCTACCCAGTAGGGGAAACCACAGAGCCACCGGAGCCCCCGGAGTTATAATCCCTTAACAGGGCCATCACAGTCATCCTCCCTCCTTTCCCGACTCGTCGCTTCATTCTGAACCCTCGCAGGTCCCTCCGGGGCAGGCTGAGGCCGTCAGTCACGATCCGGCTGAGGTGACGCCCCCACGGGAGACCCGCCCCAGTGCCAGCACATGCCCCGAACAGGGTTACCTGTGAAGGTAAGGTTAGTTCGAGGAGGTCCCCGACGGTGACTGCAGTATTGACCTATCACTTTCCTATCCCCTCCATCCAAAGCTGGCTAAAATGGCAATCGCTGGCCGAAATGGCTCCAATCCAAATCAACAAGCGCGCGACGGCAGCCGCTTACCTTCACGGACATGCTTCCGGCGGAAATCTCGTGCTCGGTCGAGCCGGCGCGGTGCGGCCGGCCGGCGGCCCCTGCGAGCGGCTGCTGACGTCCTGGCCGGTCCCGAGTCAGCCCGTCGCCGTCCGCAGGCGCGGCTGGACGGCAGCCCCTGCGAGCGGCTGCTGACGCTCTGGCCAGCCCTGAGCCGGCCCGTCGCCGTCCGCCCACGCGACGAGTCTGGGCGGGCGACGCTGGCGGCGTCTGGCGGCGACAGCTGGGCACCACGCCTACGGCCCGCGTGGCGGCGCCACCCGTTCCGAGGCAGCGACGGCACCTGCATGATCGACAGGGAGGTAGCGCCTCGCGTGATGGCGTCATGAATAGATTCCCACTGCAGACCCCGAAACTCTGAGAGGAGCCATCATTAAACTTGAGTATGATATCGCGAGCAAAACTCGGAGACTGCTGTCGCCTTCGAAAAAGCCGCGCACTAGCCGGTGTAGATGCTACCACGGCCAACTAGCTCAGTTATCTGCACCTCATTCGACCCTCTTATCCTCTACCTTGCTTCATCCTGCATCCTCGCGACGCCCCACTTGTCCGGGGCAGGCTGCACGCGTCAGCCCCGGGTGGGCCGAGAGCCCCGTGGGAAGGGGGACCCCGACTGGGTACCCAGCGCACATGCGCGGGTTAGAGCTCGGCGGTTGGCCCCCAGGCGCATGCAAGCCTGCCCCGCCGTTAACTATTTTCCTTCCTCCATAGCCCTGAAATGATAATTTCTGGTCGAAAGGGCTCTTATCTAAACAACCAATCTACGCCTGTCTCCACCTTCAGTCATTCACTACGGTGATCAGGGCAATGCATGCACAGCAATCCCTTGTCAATGTAATTCCATTGTCAGTATCTTCACGAGCGATCTTCCATGCTGCATGCAATATGGGCGTCTAGTGTCGTGCATTGATGGCGTCCAACTGTCAAGCCCCGTGCATCCTGATAAAAAATGTATCGTGATATCCCGGCCAGGAGAACCTTCTTACCAAACCCCGCTAACCGCCCAAAGGCTGGAAAATTTACTCGTCCAAAACTACCTCCGCTTCGTGGTAGTGAGCAGCATGAGAACATGAGAACAGCATCAGGTAGTGAAAGAAGTGAACATTAAAAACATCAGCATCCCTCAATCGTGGCGTTGCTTGCCCAGGTAATCCTTTCGCTGACTGTGAAGCTGCCGGGAGTTACCATGGATCATGCCCTGTCCTCGAAGGACCCAATACCCACGGGGAGCAATCACACAAAGAGTACGATCCCATCCTCCTCTGTTGATATAAGGCACGTCGCTGCCTTATGTACGAGGTCCATGAAGTTCTAATCCAAACCCATTTCTTCCCACGCCCTTTATTTTATCCCCTGGTTATCTCAAGAACACCTGGGCCGAATTCAAATATTTTAATCGTAATCGATTGCACCTTGGTCTCAGAAGAATTAAGTTTTAGTGTGTATTAAGGTGACATATCAGAGTGAAATTCTAAACAAAAACTTTCTTTAAAATATCTGGCCGCTCCCACAATGCATTTCAGTTAGAATCGTATCGCGTGGCGTGAAATCCTTGCGGCTTATCAGACCTGTCACGTAGGAAAGGCGTTCAATGTTACACGCGTCGTGCCAGGCCTAGAGCCAAGGTCACATGCCGAGCGATCGAGAGCTCAAACCTTGGTGTATATATCTGTTTTGGTCCATCTGTTTCCGTTACATTTTTACCACCTAAACACGAGGCGGAAGAGCTAAGTCGCAGTTATGGGGTATCAGACGCTTGAGCAACAGCGGTTACTTGTTTGTAAGCCGCCTGAGGTCAGGGTCAAATGAATGCCCTCGATGGGGAAAAACGCTTAGATCGGTTTTCGCGTTGTTTTCGATAGTTGAGTCTTGCCAACAGTGTAATCTGATGCCCTTCAATCCTGCAGCCGGTCCTGTGGTCGTTGGTTGGCGTGTAAAACTGATAAATGGCTTCCGCCGCTCCGTCATCTCGCCGCCGCGGCAGACCTGAGCCCCGCCGCCCACCGCCGTGGGCTGGGCCCACCTGGGTATGGGCAGCATGCGCTGTGATGCATTTCAAGCCATAACTCAGTCATAGTTACAGAGAACTGCTTGAAACTTGGTACAGGCATCTTTTATGGTCGTATCTAGAATACCTCCCTTATGTTCTTCAAACGTTGCTGGCTCACTCTTCTCTTCATCAATTCACACTCTTCATCAATATCTTAAGTTCACGCACCAGTTTTTAACGTGCAACATTGAATTAACCCAACGACCAAGCATATTAATGATCGACTTACTTCCGCTCACAGATGTAAAATACGCTCTTTCGCTTGACCCACGTTCATTTGTTTTCCGCTATCAACTCTTGAGAAAAAATCGGCAAGGGTGGCGTCACTACGCCGTCACTTACGCTTACTTTATTTTGGTCTCGAAGTCGTTATTTTGGCACAAGGCGTATAACTCATCAATTCACAACTCATGATAATATCGCAGTGACATCTTGAAGCATTTTTGAATATCGCGAATATCGGACAAGGGGCAGACTTGATCCCCGCCGGTCAATGTCGGATCCAGCTGCCATCTTTGGCGTTTTTGCGACCTCCAGCTGGTTTGAGCCACCGCCGCCCACATAAGTCACTCTTGAAGCACAAATATCGAGCTATCGCGCGCTTCAGAACATACGAATAACTTTGCAAACTAAAGAAGAGACGGTTAAGGACACAGTGACACTGCACGGGGAACTAACATCCAACAAGCCGCGTAGCATAAAAAAAACGTCCCGCAGACCGAAAATCGCAGCATCAACCCCAATCGTACCGAAAGATCCTACATCGACAATTTCCAAACAGTGTCACAAACTGTACCCTGTCGAAGAGCGTAGCTCGGCCCCTTTAATTCGAGCGCTCGCCCACGCAAGCACGCCGTGCTGGGTCTGTCTGACCGGTGTTTGGTCGTCGCGCGGTCGAATCACCGTCAGGGGTCGCGGCACTCAATGACCACGGATATGACGTGCGTCGCAAAAATAAACACAAAACCTCATTGCCGCTCGTCAAACAAAGCAATCAATCCTCCGCGTATATTTGTTGGCCACAGCCGCGATTCGAATCGCACACCGTCCCCATTCCGGCCGCCGCGCCCCGGCCGAACAGAACGGAGGCGCCCGGTGCGCCGTAACAGTGCGCCGTAACAGTCCAGAGCGCCGCCGCACCCCGGCCGCCGCGGCGGGCGCTGCCGGCGAAACGGGCCAGTGCCGGCACACAACGTCCCACACGGCAACAACAGTCCGGTCCAGGCGCCAGCACGTGATGCCTGCTACAGGCCGGGCCCGGCTCTCGACCAGCGGGGCACACCAGCGGGTCTGGAAGCGCCCCAGGGAATGGCACGCCCGCTCCACTACAGGTTGTCAACGTCTAGGCACAAAGCGATGGTCGTCAAAACGGTGTAGGATCGGTACTTCTACGGTCATTTCACCATGCTGCGTCCAATGGGGCCTGAGCACAGCTTCGTTTGTCTTTTCCGCGCCATAGCAACGCGTGTAAATGAACCAGAGACAAAGAACAAGAGTATCACGAGCCAAATGGCGACTGCGTTTGCGCCAAAAAATGGCTTCCGGTCACGCGCGCCGTGTCGCGGTCACAAGCGGCCGCCACCCAACGACAGGGCGACGGCGCAGGCACGCGAAACACGTGGTCTTTGGCACCAAGCTTACGAAAGATTCCAATCAGATCAAAAGTGAAGTAAGAATATATCAATTTCGCACGGCTTGCCTGGCCCACCCGTCCAGCTCAGCCCAAAACTGCTCCGTGACCAACAGGCGAACACAGCTATTCCCGAGTTACAGGCGACCCGCCCCTGCGCTTGGCCGCAGCATGGAAGAGACTGCGCTGTTGGACGCAACACTATCGGGAAGACTATGGCTAGCCGGCGCAGCGGCAGCGTGACACGGCGTCGCGACGCGCGGCTACGGCCGCGGCCCATCCCGCCGTCCCACCCACGCCGCGCGCCGGCGGGCGGACACGGCGGCCCGGCGCCGGCAGACCACGCGCGCCACTCGCGGCTCAGAGGCGGACGGCTGCGGCGGCCGCCGCCGGCGACGCGCGTCCACCGCTCCGCTGGCGGCGACGGCGAACGTCTGCAGACGGCCAGAAGGCTCGTTCGGCGCCGACCGGCCGCGGTGATCCGTCGGTCAAACGGTCAAACGGCGTCACAGATCGCCAGGCGCTCGCCCCGGTCAGCACCGCCCGGCCGGCCAACGACGGGCGTCAACAAACAACACCGAGCCGTAACAACCTCCATCCTCACCAGCCTCGAAGATTGCACGCAGTTCGCCTGCGCCCCGCCGGACGACAAGCCGCCCACCGAGCGCCAGAGTCAGGCCTCCCCCCCCCCCCCCCTCCCGCGTCCCACGCCGTCCGAGCCGCGCGCTGTCACAGAAGCGTCGACACGGCAGCGGATCGTAGCCCACACAAGCGGGTAGCACCACAAATACTGGCCTATCGGCTAAAGCCGGCCCGAGAGGCAGCTGTCTGCATCGTCCGCGCGGACGACGTCTTAGCTACTCCTGCAATCCCTTCGCAGGAGGTCCCTCAGCCACGCTTCCCGGCCACTTCACCGTCTCGGCCGCGGCAGTGGGCGCGCTCCGGAGACGCCCCCAGTCTAGCTGAAGCGGAACGTGCCGAACTGCACCAGCCGGATGGTGTCCGAATAGATGAGATACTTGACGACCGGCTTGGGCAGCGGCAGCTGCGCCAGGCGTGCCAGCTGGCGGCGGCCCAGCTGGCGCCGCAGCAGCAGCCGGCACAAGTTCTGCAGCGAATGGGGCGTGCCTGCGACGGCCGGCGGGAGGTCACACGCCGGCTGCGGACCGGGTCCGCCGGCTCCACTCACAGGGCGGGACACGGTCGGCGGGAGTGGGGATAATGACGGCTGAAATGCGCAGTCTGCCTGCCTAGCAGTGCCAAGCACAGCGTGTCTTGTGGACAGGACGTCACACGGGGTAGTGAGCCGGTGTTTTTAGCTACCCTTTGCACTCAGCTTCAACACAATACACCCCAGAACAAATGCTTGCAGCACGTTGCAGCACAACGCGCACATTGCATACCTACGGCACATTGGAAGATGACTGGGGCTTCGTTTCTGCTCACACCTACGGCCACATAGCGCATCGCGCCGTCGTGACGCCGCCACATCTCGGGCCCGCCCGCCCGCCCGCCCGCCCGGGGGCGGTCGGTCACGTGACCTCACCTGCCAGCTGCTTGATGGGCTTGACGAGCAGGCTGTCGGGCTCGGCCTCCCAGGCCAGCAGGCCACCGCCGTTCAGCTGCCACAGATTGCCGCCGAACTCGTACAGCAGCTCGACGAACTCCACCGAGCACCTGGCGACGGCCGTCCGTCATAGGCGCTGTCACGCGAACGGACAGTGTCCCACAGCCCCACAGGGTACCCTACAGACTTATAGATACCCTACCCAGCTACAGAGTATCCTACAGGCCTACAGAGTACCCTACAGACCTACAGAGTATCCTACAGACCTACAGAGTACCCTACAGACCCACAGAGTATCCTACAGACCTACAGCGCATCCTACAGACCTACAGATACCCTACACACCTACAGAGTACCCTACAGACCTACAGAGTACCCTGTAGACCTATAGAGTATACCCTGCCGACCTACAGGGTATTCTACAGACCTACCGAGTATCAAACAGACCTACAGAGTATCCTACAGACCTACAGATACCTTACCGACCTACAGGGTATCCTACAGACCTACAGATACCCTACCGACCTACGGAGTATCTTACAGACCTACAGAGTGCCCTACAGACTTACAGATACCCTCCCGACCTACAGAGTATTCTACAGACCTACGAAGTATCCTACAGACCTACAGAGTATCCCACACACCTACAGAGTACCCTACAGACCTACAGAGTATCCTACAGACCTATAAAGTATCCTACAGACCTACAGATACCCTACCGACCTACAGAGTATCCTGCAGACCTACAGAGTATCCTGCAGACCTACAGAGTATCCTGCAGACCTACAGATACCCCACCGACCTACATAATATCCTACAGACCTACAGAGTACCCTGCAGACCTACAGATACCCTACCGACCTACAGAGCATCCTACAGCCCTACAGAGCACCCTACAGATCTACGGAGTATCCTACAGACCTACACAGTACCCTACAGACCTAGAGTACCCTACAGACCTACACAGTATCCACGGCAACGATAGTGCGGGGCGGACGCGCTCATAACAGGGCCGGCTTAGAATCAGAACTAGAACTATTGTTCGTGACTCAGCATCACATCGAGGTATTCACGTTCAGGTGAAACAACCTTCACTTTACAGCTCGGAACCTTGAGCCCCGCCGATTCTACGCCAAAACCACGACTCGAAAAGCACAGTTTTCGAACCGCCACCCATGGCCGCGCGCCGCCAGCACTCCTCCCGCCCTCGCAGGGAGCAGCGTTACCTTCGGCGTCCGAGCACCCCATCAGCACCGCCGTCCGGTCAGCGTGCCTTCCTCTACGCCCGGGGCACCCGCCACCTCCTTAGGGCCGGCGCCCTCCGTCTCTATCCACCCCGCCTCGGCGCACCTGTACTTGAGCACGGCGTGCGGAAGCGACACCTGGCGAACGGCGTCGGCCGGCACGCGCGGCCGCCGCGCCGGGTCCGCCAGGCTGCCGGCCAGCAGCAGCGCCAGGAAGCAGTCCAGGTGGTGGTACACGGCGGCTGTGTGCAGCGGCAGCGACGGCAACAGGCCGCCGCGCAGCAGGCCCACCTCAGGATCGGCGCCGAACGACAGCAGGATCTGCCGGGACACCGGCGGCGCTACACAGGGGCACAGAGCGATACAGCAGGATCTGCCGGGATACCGGCGGCGCTACACAGGGGCACAGAGCGACACAACAGTGCCTGCGGCGAAGGACGAACTTCACAGGGGCACAGAGCGACACAGCAGTGTCTCTGGCGGAGAGATGGAGGGGGACTACACAGGAGCGCAGAGCGACACAACAGCGCCTGCGGTGAAGGACGAACTACACAGGGGCACAGAGCGACACAGCAGTGTCTCCGGCGGAGAGACGGAGGGGGGACCATGCAGGGGCACAAAGCGACACAGCGGTGTCTGCGACCGGAGGTACGGGAGGGATCACACAAGGGCACACAGCGTCACAGCGAAGTCTGCGGAGGCAGCCGGGTCCGCAGCGGCGGTAACGGTGTCTTCAAAGACGGCCGGGTCGCCGACAGGGGGGGGGGGGACAGTCACCCGCCCGTACGTAAGCGGGGCAGTCTGCGTGATCGCAGGGGAATAAGGGTGCCGGGACAGTGAGCACGCACAGTGAGCACACACCGGGACCGTGTGGCCGGCGCTGGAGGTGGGATAAGAAGAGGAGAGGATACCCGACTGCCTCCCATTCAACGGATAATCTATGTACACTCAACGAGTCACAATCCACTAGATCGCGGTTCGCTGACGTGTATGCCCGGATGCCGGCAGAACTTACGCTCCAACTGCGTCCAACTACCAGCTCCTGGCCACGATATCTGTTCGGTACCTTCTGACCGTCTACTGATCACACCGGCGTGTACTGACCCCGGACGGAGCTCCCCAGAGCTCCGGGGAGCGCGCGGCCGCCGGGCTCACCTGCACACCGGGCAGCCAGCCGGCCTGGCAGCACTGGGCCAGCGGCGTCGACAGGTTCTCGGCCGACCCGTTCGGACAGGCGCCTCGCTCCAGCAGCACCCTGGACAGCGCAGAGCGAGCTCAGCCAGCGCCACGGATCGCTCTGTCAGCACGACCAATCGCTCCGCCAGCCGATGGCGGTCGGTCACCAAACTAGTCGGGGAAAGCTGGCCACCACGAGACAGAGTCGGCACCAGCCTTAAAATTCAGACACACTATTGTCGCAACACTGCAAACATAGCGATGTACCTTTGACTTTTCTGATCTGGCAGATAGCTGCGAATTTTCTGGGAGCTGTAGCCAATGTTATAAATGGACTGACGTAGATTCAATGGTGAGCCACATCAACAGAGACTAATAGTTGTGGTAGGCTTTGACACAGTAATAGTGTTCCATAGCTTCTGCCTTCCCTGATCTAAGCCCAGATATAAGCCTCCCTCGTACGTCTCCCATGCGGCAGTATTACTGGAATGACACACTCAAAGATGTGAGCTCAACGAAAATTTTTGCTGAGATACATACATGCTAAATTGTGACATCTAGCCATGATTCACGCCGTATATGTTCGGAAGCTATTCGGTATTTACGTTGTCCAGTTTTACAAAGTTGTGTTAAACGTAGGCCATCTGGAAGGTCGACATACCAGCGGTCTACCAATACTGCGGACGCAGGTCAGCACGCGTACCATAGTGTGACAGCACGGCGAACTGCAGCCACTGTTGCTCTTTGGTACCGGAACAGAAAACATAACCGCGAGGGCAAGTTCGCCTCCTTGTAACAAAGGCAGAATTCAAACCCCATTCTAAGATACATCATCTAAGTCAGGCACAGCAGCGGCAGTGAAAAAAAAACAAACAAATCGCAGTCTATCCCGTGAGGAAGCAGCGCGTGGATAAGCGCATTTTAACCTAATCAGGCGGCCAGCATACGCCTCGGGCGGACGTGACAAATTTGGGCCGAGACGTCTCGGGCTGGGCGACATTCCACAGACCGCGCGGCGGACGTCCGTGGCACTCACCTGGCACACTCGAGGTGCTGATCTTTGACGGCCACGAACAGCGGCGTCTGGGCCTTCATGTCGGTGAGGTCCACCTCGGCGCCGTGGTCCAGCAGGCACGAGACACACTCAGGCGAGTCACCTGCGGACAGCAGCGGCGTCCATCGGAGCTACGGCACGGCACGGCACGGCACGGCACGGCACGGCACGGACAGCCGCAGATGGAACAGCTGGGCAGTGAATCGGCGAGGTGGAATGGGAGATGCGCACAAACTCTCGCTACAAGCGTTGCTGTGCTGTGACTGCGTCTCGAGGCGGTGCCCTGCTGGACCGAGCACCTCAACTCGGAGAAATCGCGTATAGTGCCATCTACCATAAAAATTTCCTTAGGGGTTGGGGTTCGTGAAAGAAAACAAGGCGACACTATATGGAGCACCCTGTGAAATGTCAATCATTTTGAGATACTTTTGAGATTTGATCCTGTCGAATACGCATAGCACAGCATGCGTGCGTGATAGATGCGCGGGTCATCATACAGAACCTGCTACACCTTTAATATTAGACACTTTCTCAAAGTGCTGCCAGCCAATATCAGCTGATGAATTTCCAGGGTGATGCATGTCCGAACAATACGACAATGATGAAGCAATGGAATGTCTGGAGTACGTAATACACAAGCGGCATGAAATGGAGACAAACATAGTGATGTCAGCCGCATACAGTAAACAATAGGCAGTTTATCGAAGTGGCCTCGAAGTGTAGTTTATCGAAGTGACGTCGGTATGCTGCGTCTGCACCACTTGTCTCACCGTTGGAGTCGCGATAATGTGACAACACAGCCCCTTTCCCCGTTATCAGCGCGAAACAGCTCAGCATTCACAAGCCGCCGTTCTTGACCGCCCACGCCTCTGCAGAAGGTACTACCCAAGGCACTGCTCCACTCCTGACCACACCCTCTTCCCACAGGGGCACTCAAAGGGCGAGGGTGGACAAAGGTGCACAGGAACAGCTGCACATAGAGAGGGTGGGACGACAGCCCTGGGCGACGGCCGGGCCCCTCACCGGAGACGGCCAGCCGCAGCGGTGAGACGCCCAGCAGGCGCAGCTGCTTGTTAATGCCCTGGCGGTACTTGGCCTGTTGCAGCAGCTGGCGTAGGGTGTCCAGGTGGCCGCTGTAGGCCGCCTGGTGCAGGCGGATGTCCTCTGCCGGCTCCTCCATGTCAATCAGCAGGCTTGACAGGTCCATGGTGGGGATGTCTTGCTGAGGGCAGGGATGGGGCAGAGATGGTCAAGTTTACACCCATCTTGAGGGGTCTGGTCATGGTGCCAGGGAAGAATGTGAAGTAACTGTTTGAGCACAAAGTGCATGACCAGGACAAGGATTCCTGGGCAGCATATAAACTTTTGATAGTTACTGACTTAACAGCAAACCAAACATGCTGTAGCTTCATATTATATCCCAAAAATTTTGAAGTGTTTTTTTTAAATCAACAGCATGCTGCAAAAATGTCTGTATTTTGCTCACACGTGCTGCACTTTCTTCTCAATCAAAAAAGCTGTAATAGAATGTCATTCTAGTAGTCTCCTGTGATAGCATTATCAATGAATGGCAATAAAAGGATTTGCAATGATTTAACATCTTTCTAAATTATTGGTTGGATCCATCAACATGCATTACCAGGGTAAGGCAGAAACCCATGAAGTTACTGAAAATAGCTAACAGCATTTTGGATACCATTTGAAAGCTTAACTTTGAAATTCTTACAAGTTAGCTTAATCATACTCACCATGAAAAAAGTGCACACATGAAGTGTTTAGTGTTGGATTTCAGGTCTTGAAAAAGTATAAATTTGAGATGGGTAAACAGGGTGAGATAAACACCTTTTCAAACAATAAAAGCTGTGAAATTGCGGCTTACAAATACCATTTTGAGTGCACCAGCCACATTGCTAATCCAAAATTGCAGTGATCTTAGACCTACATCAAGCAAAATGGTCTCAGTAGTCTCAGTATGGCCTCAGCAGTAGTGTGCTCAAAAAAACATCCAATCTGCATCTCATCAAAGTAAAAGGTCAGATGCAAAGGAGTATGGAATCTTCCTTCATATGAGTACAGTTATTTTTTTAGTGTCAGATAATCAATAAGGCTGTTTCCCCACAATTGTATATGAACAATGGTGAACCCTGACAATCAACAGCATCATCATTCATGGAGGCAAATTACCATTCAATAGTTGTTTTCCTATGCCTCTCAATAGCATTCCATGAGACCAATAGACCTCTCCTGGTCAGCATACTCCAGCTCACATACACAATGAGATCACGCATCTCGGGACAATAGCATGGAATGTGTACACAGGCTGTACAGTCAATTAAATCCATATACATACCTGTGTTGCTAAAAGTGGGTTCTTATGTTCCGCCAATGGCCACTGACATGGCCAGCCTCTGTACTGTACGTTTGCTCGCTTGCGTGCATTTACCCCACGGTCGCGACTCCTGTGATTCCACCTCCACCCGCGTATGCCCGCGGCTGCCTGCCCCCGCCAGGGTTCGTTCGCCCAAGCGTTGACCTTCTTGACCTATAAGTTGCAGAGTAAAGTGGCGCGCGTTCCCAGCTTTCTGCGCCGGTTTCGTAACATTTCCCCGATTTCGGGGTGAACAACAAAAGAAAAACGCCATAGGAACCCCGTAACCAAATATAGTAGTGCGCTGCTTAAGCACCGATACACGCTTGAGTGCCGATAAGCAGAGGCACAGCTGGAGGAAGTGAAAGTCTAAGCCTCCATAGCCCCGCATTTCAACGTAAGCACCGTAAGCGGTTCCTTTAGCCATCTGCTAAGTGTTCCTCTCGCCCCCTCCCGGCTGTGGTTCCGGCTGCGGCCCTCATTTAATGGAATGCCGGGTTATGCGGTGCACGGGCGCTGCCGCGTAGGTTTGAGGTTTTACGGTACACCAAGCACCGCTGTATAGACACATCCTCGGCATTTTTGTAACCTTATCCGCGAAATGTTACTGGTTCGGTGCCATTTGTTTGGATCATCTTTGGCCTGATGCTGCTGTTTAAGTGTTCGTTGTACATCAATTTTCCTCGCATGTATTGGGTACACCATTCGCCGCTAGTGATTGACGGTTGGGATTTATTTTGACATTTGGGGCTCAAGCAGCCAAATATGCGGCGTAAATTGGCGCAAGGTGCTGTGTAGGGGACAGCGTACAGCGTACTTGTCATGATACCATCGCTGAGGTTATCACGAGGAATACGAGCTGTGGGAATTGAGGTTCAATCAAAGAGTACCCCAGTGCGCGCTCGCGTCTGCCTGAACTTGCGTTTGGGGCACTTGCGTTGGGAGTGCAACTTGTAATATGCAATTAACACGCAATGTCGCAGACGCAAACACGTCGAAAATAGCATGCAATAAAATTGGTCGGCTTTGGGCTTCCAGGCGACCAGGAGCAGCCACAAGCGAAAGTGAAAGGTCCACGGGTACATCAAAAATATTCCCCCCCGATTGAGAGGATGGTGAATGGGAGGGAGGCATAGGGCCTGTGAACGCTCATTTCGCTGCTCACAGGCCCTATGCTGCTTCCAGGGGTCCCATATGCCCACTTGCAGGGTCAATTCGATCGCTCAGGAGCCTTCTTCGTTGCCCTTGATCTCTTCGGATTCGCCCGGAGGGCGCTGCGCTGCTGCTGGGATCCTTCCTGCTAGCGTGCCGGGGCACTCTTTTCAATCATGAGATTTCCCGGATTTTTTTCCACTCGTCGGAAAGGCTCTGCACGCTATAACCGGAAGCCCCATCTGTTAACTTGCTGGGGTTTTCTCGGTTACTCAGGGACCCTTCACGTATGTCTCATTTAGCCAACCGGCATGCTCACGATAGGCTCATGGGCTCTCTATTTTGGCCCAGGGCCCTTCCGGTTTTTTGCCACTCGCTCACACCCCCACGCTCTTATCGGGCCCCATCTGCCAATTTGCTTAGACACACTCGGTCATTCGGGGTCCTCCGAATTGGGCCTTGGGTGCTTCCTTTTTTAATGTAGAGCCCTACGCACTTGTCGGGGGCCCCATCTGTTGACTTGCTCAGGCACACTGCATTGTTCGGGGCCCCGGCGCGTTGGGTTTTGTATTTGAATGCAAGATCGCACGCTCCTGTCGGTGGCTCTTTCTGATGACCTGCTCGGGCACACTCGATCGTTCCTGAGGCCCTCTGCATTGGACCTTGGGTACCTCCTATTTGAAGAGAGGGCCTTACACTCTTGTCGGGGGTCACAGACGTTCTTTCATTCGCACAAAGTAGAGGTGCGCATGGTGCATGTCGTGAGGACAGTGATCGCGACTGCGTTGAAGAAGTGTAGTGCTGTTACAAAGTGTAGTGTAGTGCTGTTATAAAGCGTTGACAGTGTAGCTGAGACTCGAAAAATATTCAAATTGATGCTCCTATTATGTCTTCACGGTGCTGCAGTGGTACTACCCAGTGCAATCATCGACGTAACTAATCCTGAAGTTTCACTACAGTACGTTTTGGCATACGCCAAAGGTGGGACACTTCCTTTAAAGGCCAGGGCGCTAACAGTGGAAGACGGCCCGAACGTCTGATGCCGTCGAATTCCACATGCGTGTTGCTCGGGGAACAATGATCTGCGGGTGAACTCGGTGGGCATTCGCGGAAGTTGCAATATGCCGTCAGCTGTAGCCCGAGTGCCACGCGGGAACGCAGAGGCACGACCGATCGCCCGTTTGGGTAACGCCTCGGGTGCACGGGTGTCCGATAGAACGCTTCGCATCGTCGTCATGTCTCGTTCGGTGATCACGTCCAGCATTGTAGCAACCGAAATGAAGCAGTGCGAGAGATGCACAACCGTGATTGTGTAGGCTGAGGACGATGCGGACGCCAAAGGTCAGTGCTTTCTGAACCCTCTGTGTACACCTTAGCAGCATCCCAGAGGGTTAACAGTGTCAAAACTTGAGGAAACATCGGCACCTCCATCATCGTCCTGGTCTCCGTCGGCACACGGTGTCTCATACGGGCGAGCGCAATTAGACGGTCGTGGCATACAGTTATTTTTAGTTCTGTTCGACTCTGGGCTCCTCTGTTTTGAGGATACTCTTCGACTGTCACCGGAGCTCCCAGCCTAACACAAACAAACCCTTTTTACCATGGACGTGATGGAAACATAAAGAACCAGCGAAGCACTTGAAGGCGCCGTGAAGTGACAAACTCGAGAGATCCGTATTTTCCGGTCCGTCTTCCCAGCGTCGCTTGGCGTTCTCCACGCTTGCAGCGCGTCTCCCTCTTAAAAAAAAACTTGGAATTCTTCGTCGTCGCGTGTATCTCATACCAAATGGCTCCTTTTTTTCTAGAGGCCCCTGACTTTGAGAACTTAACACGCGCTCGGGTGGGGGGTCAAATTGCCACACCGAAGGTTTTTTCAGAATGGTTCCAAACGGTGCGGCGTAGCCTTGCCAAATTTTGCACAGCTGTGGACAATTGAATAGCGGATCGTTTGGCATACAAAATTAGATGTGCCTTGCAAGGTCGCTGACCAATGGCAGGCCAAATTCAGGCAATGGTTTCAGGGAAGGCAATTTTCAGGGAATCGTCTAATCTGATACAATAAAGGAGTGTTTGACGAAGCCATACATCTCTGAGATGCTTTCTTAGGCATTACAAATATTGAATGAGCAAACCACGTTGACCTAAGGTCAGGTATGAGGGTCAGACCAAAGTCACAACCAACATGATTTATTACTCTAGGGCTTGCTGTATGGGATAGTTTGTGGTGCTCATTTCGAATTTATTGACAGCAGGAGCCGCACTATACATCTTCCATTGACTTTTTAGAGGTCAGAAAAGGTCATTGACCTAAAATGACCCGGGTCGATGCTTTGTTTTATGAACATACTGTCTAGCATAATCTTTGTCGCTTATTCAAATGCAAAACTAGCGGTGAGCGGTGGACCATGCCCCGGGTCAGTGTGTCAGCATGGAAGGCGAGTGGGGCGATGACTCATGTCTGAGTGAGGGGAGCGATCACGGCTCGGGGCGGTGCGTCACGGTGGCACCGGCCAGTCGCACGCAGATCGTGTTGCGGGTATGAGCCTTGGAAAGAGTATAAGAGGTGCTGCTCGGGGGGAGGGGGCGGGGTGGACGGTCTATTATGGGCTATTGGACACACATGTTGTTAACCTTTTCAATCACTCTGCCTTTGTACACTTTGAAATTAAGTGTTCCCTGCTCACTACCCATGCCAGCCTCCAACCGACCAGTATTCATTATATTAGGTCCTTAAGCCTGCTCCTAATCGCCTGAACTTCTCAGAGCTCCCTGTCGTCATCTTCGCGGAGGGTTCATTCCGGAAACGGCTTATGGCGAGTCGGAGCGTAATAGTCCATGAGTACGCCAATGGCTTTACCTTATCGTGAATTTATTATTCATTACATCAACCTGTACCCGTTTCAATGCGTGTTGGCGTCACACGGTGTACACACGCCGGAATGACAACGGCTCTGCGTTCCCATATTTATGCTATCGACGAAAGTCTTCGCTATTTTCACGTTTCGCTTGGCATGTGCCACGCGCCTCATGCAGAATTTGGTATTGTCCATTCTACGACTTCCCCGGACCCAAGGCTTACAGCATACCAACCAATCGACCCTTCCCACCAGCTAAGCCAAGTTCATCGATTCTTTCCTCCACTCCCCCCCCGCGTCCGGCGATTTCTGCGCATGCCGGTCAGCAATTCACGAGCGGTGGGTCCGTGGTCGGCCACCGAACCCCTCCCTCCCGCGACAGCCAATAGGAGAGCAGCGGCCGGCGGCGGCGCGCGGCAAGACCGGGGCGCGTGGAACGCGGCGTTAGCGCGCACTGCAGGGAGGTTGGGTCGGCGAAGCGTCGTAGCGCCGCTGGGTTCACCTAAGCTCTCTGTGATCCGCGTCGCGTGTCAGCGGATTCTTCAGACATCACCATGGTGAGAACTTGTCTACTTTTTTGCTGTTAATCAAACTGCTCAGAATTGTACGAAAAGTGTTGGAATAAGCGGTGGGAATTGGAGAGGCCAGCCGGCGCACCCAAACACTCGCAAACTGGCGAATCACGACGAATGTGTGTTTATCGCTCGGGTGCAACCTTTGCGTCACTCATCCCGGGTCAAATTTTGTATTTTCAGGCGGCAAAAGTTGAGTCGGTGTCACGTGATTTGCTGGTGTAATCCCGGCAATGGATGACTGGTTCGTAATGCCATGGCTGTACGGTCAGGAACGGATGCATGCCCCAAATTACACATTCCGTGATTCATGTGTTGGCATCAAGCGAGGGAAACATTGAAGAGCAGGCCGGGAATGTGTCTGGTGGTACTTGTGTCCATCCAAGGCCTGCCGTACTTTTGTCGGTTCACTGTCAACCGCCGGGGCCACGTGGTTCTATGGCAATCGTTACGCAGCCGCGCCTCTCGCTGCGTTTCATTTGGACTCTGCTGGAGAATGTCTTTCCGGTGATAGCCGACGCCTGCAGCCGGCTGCAGGCGTCGGTTCAGT